GAGGCACGGCTGTCCATGTTTACTGGAATGAGAAAAGCCGCTAGGCCTTGGGAAGGAGCCACACGAATCCAGTAGGTAACCAGAGGTCGGCGGCATCCCTTGCACACATCCCTGGACACAGCAAGGCTTTGTATCTGGGCTACACAGAGCCCTTCAGAAACACACCACTGCTGAGAGCTCTTTACTCAGTAACTCTATCATCAGTTCCCTGGTCTGGTTCATTTCAAAACATCAACAATGAAAAGGAAATGCATGCCCATGGCAAAAAAATTCAAACAAGCACGAGTGTCTCCTTTCTACTCTTCACCCCCAGTGCCTCAGACCCCCTCCCCAAAAGTAACCACTGTTATTCATTCCTAGTGGAGCCTTCAGATGGTAAAGCCTAGTTACATAAACACGCCTCTTAAAAACAGTAGCAAACTAAGCACGCTGAGACTTGCTTTTTCCACTTTACATGTGGACATTTCCAATTGGTGCATATAGGCCTACCTCATGCTTTCAGTGACTGCATAATATTCCACTTTTAGATATACTGTCATCCACTGAACCCTGGTGCTGGACCCGAATTTCCTCATTGACACCTTATCCTGCACTGGCAGGTGTGCACAGCAATGCTGAGCAGCACACTCGCTGGGACAAAGGCTATGCATGTAAAATGTTGATGGGTATCAACAATTTTCCTCCAAAAAAAGTACCCTGATTTACATTTACACTAACGATGTATGAGAATCCTTATTCCATTGCAATCTCACATAACATAGAAACACGTGGTTTTTTTAAACCTTTTTGGAAGCTAATGTTGCCAAGAATGGTCATCCTGCATGGAACTGGTGTCCTATTAAAAAAAAAAGGGGGGGCATCCTTTAGAAAAGACTGTTGCTATATGGTGCTCATAGAGCAGCGGTTCTCAACCTGTGGGTCGAGACCCCTTTGGCGGTCGAACGACCCTTTCACAGGGGTCGCCTAAGACCATCCTGCATATCAGATATTTACATTATGATTCATAACAGTAGCAACATTACAGTTATGAAGTAGCAACGAAAATAATTTTATGGTTGGGTCACAACATGAGGAACTGTATTTAAAGGGCCAGAAGGTTGAGAACCACTGTCATAGAGGATGGATAACAAATAATAAACAGGTCATGCTTAGCCTGGGAAAACGTGGTTATAAATGAAGTCACTGTCCTCAGTGGTTTTCAAGTCATTCTCAAAAGATTAGTTGCTTTTGCTTCTTCTCACACTTCATTTTTTGCATTTCCTTTTATAAGGGTTAGATTGGCAAAGGCTTAAGAACATGCAGAAATATTTACTCACAATGATAATGTAACCCTTAAAGCTTATTGACAAAGGGAGAAAGGAAAGCGACTGCCTTGCAGTTCTATAAAGATAAGAAAATTAAGCATAGTTGCTAAAAGGTGTGCATAGATTTACTTAACAAGAGTGCAAAATGTGTGGTCAGTCACTAAATGCTAAAATTTGGTCCCAAGATAAACCTCAGATGTTAAAACACTGCCTCTAATCTCTCAATGGGTGAAGCAGAATCCTAATGGTTGCATTTTCCTCACTTCAGGCCAAACTGGAGAACATTTAGTTTATGATCCATGGAGGGACGCTGACAGAATGACCGCAGGAACTCCGGTGTGTGCTACATGCCGGGGACCCTATGAGTGGGTGATGCCCACTATGGCCTGTACTTAGCAGCCCTGTTCAGCTCTGTCAATGCCTGCCCGTGGCTTCCTTTATGGAGTCAATCCATCTGGTATTTGATCTTCTATTTTTCTCAGCATTATTGTCTTTTCCAAAGAACCTGCCTTCTCAGGATGTGCCCGAAGTAGGACAGCTTCAGTTTTCTCATTTTTGCCTCCAGTGACATTTCACGCTTTATTTGCTGTAGGACCCACTTGTTTGTCTTTCTGGCGGTTTAGGGTGTCTGTAGACATTTAACACTGTATTTCACATGAATCCATTTTTTTCTTGCCTGCTTCCTTCGTCCACCTTTCACATCCGTACATGGTAATTGAGACTGGGAGGATGTGGGTGACCTTAGGCTTGGCTTCTGATAGCAAATCCTTGTTCCTAGTGATCTCCTAATTCCTCCACTGCCTTCTCTTGGCTGCAGTCTCCATGGGAATTCATGACTGGGCCAAGATAAGCAAAATCTTTTACAATTTCAATGTCCTCATTGTCTTTGTTAAAGTTGTGTATTTCTTCTATAGTCATGATTTTTATCTTTTTGCTGTTCAAATGCAGTCCTATTTTGGCACTTTCATTTTCATCAAACGTTTCGAATTATTGCTACTTTCTTCCCATAAGATGCTGTCATCTGCATATATTTAGTTATTGATATTTCTTCCACTAATTATCACTTCCTGAGTCTAGCTCAGTTTTTCATGTGACATGTTCTGCCTACAGATTAAACACATAGGAAGATCAGGTGCACCCTTGTCTGACACCTTTGCCTATAGGAAACTATTCCTCCATATTCTGTCCTGATGGTGGACGCATCAGGACAGTCAAGGGCTGAGGCACGCCCACTTTCAGTGCAATCTGTAGCTTTGCACAGTCAATGCAGTCAAAGGCTTTACTGTGGTCCAGGAAACAGACCGACCTAAAACTCTTTGGAACACTCCTTTTAGCCCTCATTAAAAGGCAATGATCCGTTCTCTGTGTGCATTTGCTATTCTTGACTCTCTGCTTTCTAGTTCCTGAGTTAAATAAAAAGTTCCAGAAGTGAAAGGAGATACCATGTGTTGTCTAACCCTTTCACTTTACATACAAATCATGGGCCTTTTTAAAAGGGTAATAACATTGGGCACCCACGACTGCTGGATTTCCACACATGGCACACATCCCTGCCCAATTGGTGTGGACTTATTTCAGGAATGCCCAGGAAATCTCACTACAAGCATTATTAACATAGTGTGGGCACACTCGTGTATTGAGCTTCATTTCTAATGGACACTTGACTCCTGCCACGAAAAGGAGAACCAGGTTAGTAGCCCCTCAAGAGAAATTGGGAATTTGAACATTTGTGAAATATCCCAGTTTTTAAATACTAGCAACTAATTCAAACATTTCTAAAACATTGTGAATAAAATAAGCCTGCCATCAGCAAGTCTCCAATGCATGAGTCATAAATTCAAGAGCCTGAAGCTGATCCCCCTAAACCTCGGAGCTGCCTAGGGGAGGCACAACAAATTATTGTTTATAGAAATACATGTGACCTTTTCGGATACACAAAGAAGAAAATTTAATGGGATAAAAAAATTACACTAAGAGTCTCATCAATTCAATGTTAGTAACACAATTATGATGAACTATTTTAATTAGCTGAATGAGGAAATTGCTAATAGCCTAGGTAGGTTCTCTAGCCATTCTTTGGACCTGTTTAAAAGCAGAAGGCATGCTCCTGCCCAGTCCACTTGGGGTTCTGCAATCTCTCACACATTGGGAAGGCTTCCAGGTAAACAGGGCCAAGGAGAAATAAGCAGGAGCAAACTGAATTTTGCACCTCTGAGCTCACATATTGCCAAGGTCATAAAATCCTGAACTTTTCAGGGGAATAAAGTGTAAGGGTGGCTTTCACAAATAAGTGTGGAGGGAAAGATAATAGAACTGGTCACAGGATTAGAGCCAAGTTATTCTTTTTAAACAGACCTGTTAGAATTTCCATTACAGGGATCAATTTTAGCCTCAACTTTGCTTTTTGCAAAGGAAAGTTCACATCTCCCCTGCTCTGTGTGCATAGGCGCTGTTATGCCAACTTGAGGACTTGCAGCCCCTTCCCTGGAAGCATTTGATTCCAGACAAGTTAGTACCACGAAGAACATGGAACCAGCATAAATGCTGATAACTTGTTTCAGCATTTTTATGGAAGTGAACCAAGAGACTGGCCTTGAAAAAGACGATCACTAGGCTAACAGAAACCCACCACCAGGGTGATCTTGGGAGTGGTGCAAAGCACACTGGACGCCAGGAGTCAGGAGATCCGGGTGAGGAGACGCACCTCCCTCATTCATTCGAGCAGGTTGAGTGCTCTGACCCAGTTTCCACTCTGTAAAGTGAGAGCCACACCATCACCAAGGCTTCCTTCCAGCTTCAGGACTTGGAGGAGACTGGACTGAATTTTTCAGGTCAGAAAAGTCTTCCCACTCAGCAGTGTCATTTCCCTTTTTTTGTGACTTTCTTTTACCAACATATCTGTCCGGCCAGGATTCCAGAAAGGATCCCTCCAAAGACCATGGCTCACGGGATCTGGAAGTTTTAAAGAAAGCTGGTGCTTTTTAATATTAATGCTTGGGGTTCTGAGTGAGCAAGAGGTTACTCTAAGTCGTGAGCAAGTTTGAAGATTATCTCCCCCCAGAATGCGTATGCTTCAAGTCAGCGTTAGCCTCGTTAATTAGACAGTCTGAAGACTGCAGCGAGTTGTGTGAAAGGTATCATCCTCCCTCATGTTATTTCTCCCCAGTTACCAGGATGAAAAGGAAGATTTTTTTCTGCATCTCAGAGGGCTGCTATCGGCAGCAATCTTAGCCTGGAATCTCCAAACATGTTGTAAGCAAAGCTGAAAGGTGTTAACTATATTTAATTAATGTTGGTTCCTAGGAGAGTTCCTAGGAGAGTTGAATTACCAGGTTCATGCCACTTAAATGGCTCTTCTCCAACTCCACCAGGGGACCAGGTATAGCACCCATAAAGCCAAGTCTTGGGCTGCACTGGCCATGGGGGCTGTAACCCCACACGCTACTTGCCCCTTAACAACTACCCCTCATGAACCTCAAAGGTGTTTTCTACAACAGCTCCAAAGCAGAAGTCATGGTAACCAATACAGAAGGTAGCAGTAACAGGATATAGTGACCACCAAGCTTTTCCACCACTTCCAGGAACACTGAATTCAGAATTTAAAGATTTGAGCCCTGGCCAGTTTTGCACAGTGGTTAGAGCGTTGGCTGTCGCACCAGAGGTTCTTGGGTTTAATCCCCAATCAAAAGCACATACCTGGGTTGCGGGTTCACTCCCCTCCCCTGGTCAGGGCGCTTGCGCTTGCGGGAAGCACCCAGTCGGTGTGTCTCTTTCACATCAATTTTCTTCGCTCCCTTACTCCTCCCTCTTTCACTCTGTGAAAATCAATGGAAAAGGTATCCTCTGGTGAGGATTTAAAAAAAAAAATAAAGATTTGAGTAAATCTCTAGCATTCCCACTTCCAGCAATCTGACCTTAAGGCAAGTTATAACTTCTCTTGCCCTTGAATGTAAAATGAGAATACAATCCCCACGGGTTTATTACATGGGAAAATGTTCGTGAGTCCAAAAAACACTAGAATGTGACTCTAACCTTGTTTAGATAGTGAAATAACTGAAAAACATGGTGCTTTTCATAATCCTATAAAGTATTTAGTAAACCTGATACACAGTTTAAGCCATATCCAATATGGTACGCTAGATTCTACTGTAAAAAAAGTAGCAAGATGCGAAGTTTTAAAAATGGGAAATTCCTGCCAAAGTGGGGCTAGTCCCACCCACCTACCCTAGCTTAGCAGTCAAGGACGTTATCCCTTCGCCAACATTCCCACCTCAGCACAGAGGCGGGGCAGGAAGGCCATGGCCATCAAGCTGCCCCGGGGATGAGGAGATGCTGGGAGGAGGAGATGCTGAGAGCGCTCCGTCTCTCCAGGGCCCTGGGATCGATCAGGTTGCTCCGATGTTCACCCAAGATCACCTCTCAACTGAGCAGCCCTGCAGCAATGGAACACCACCCGTGACATCCGTGGACTGCAGTGGTGGGGTGCCCGTCGCACGGCCCGTGGCACAGCTAACATTCAGTCCAATCTGAGAGGAAAGGGAAATCAAAAACTTGAGCACAAAACAGATGCCTCAGCCTGGTGAGCTGCTTGCTGATGGACTGCATCTTCTTCCATTCCTCACCCAGCCTCGGCCCTGCCTCCCACAGCCCCATCCACTGGGGGCTGACCCCCACCTGGCTTCAGAAGCCTTCCCCATCTTACCCACCAGACAAGCACAGGCTGTGGGCAGAGGGCATCTGGATCTGGTGCCAGGGAGGTGCCCAGGTGGCTGGAGCTGGACGACTTGAAGGTGTTGCAGACATTGGGCCAGTGTCCATCTCAGGAGTTTGGTCACGAAGGATGTACTCTTCCCACTTGGAGGATGTAGGGACAGTCATTGGATCCTCTCCCCTTCTCAGGCAGCTTGCCCGGCCTCATGCTCTCAGTGAACCTTCAGTGCCCCTCAAAGACAGTGGCAGGGTCTCAGCCAGAAAGTTCGTAAGTGAGGGTGCCAACAGGTGACCCCAGAAATGGGCCTTGGGCCAAGGGAGCTTTCCCTTAAGATGCAGTCCTGAAGGCCACATGGCCATTGGCCAGGGCAGCTCTGACACTTTTCCCTCCACCCCATCTTGTATGTATTCTAACCAGGAAACACAGATAGCACATGGGTAACCTGGGCAGTGGGGGCATACCCCAGACGTCCTCTTGCAGCAAGTGTCTATATATGTTGTGGTTATTTTACATGTTCTTGAATGTATATATTTCAGAAAACCGCTACCATTTCATACATACACACACGATTGACAGCATAAAACGTTATACAATTTTAATGATAATGGTCTATCATTAGAACACCATTAATCTGTGGGAACAGAGCTCAAAAAAACAGCATGCTATAGATTCAAGCTGTCTCTACTACTATACATATATGCATGAGGCTTTAATATTTCTCATCAAGTGACATTTCAAATATGACTTGAAACAAATTCAGTGGACTGGCAAAGCCTTTTTATACAACCAGTCCCCATTACTCCAAGATCAATTATTACAATGGAAATGTGGGACTGGTGCCACCAGCCAAGGGCAACTTCAGTGAAGTCAACCCTCCATTATCATTTATTTGAGCAAAAGTGAGCTGCTAACAAGAAACCAATCATGTGGCTTAAACAATAAAAACATTGATTCCTCTTTCATGCAACAGTTCAATACTCCATTTGGTCACGAAGGGATCCAGGTTCCTTCCATCTTGTCCTCTGCAATAAACCAAGGCTGGGTTGTTATTGCTTCAATTTTGGGAAGGGATAAAAGAGAGCATGGAGGAGGCAATATCTGCCTGTTTTACTGTTACCATAAGTAACAGTACTTTCACTCAAATTCCATATGAGAGAATGTAGTCTAACTTGGTCATACCTAACTACAAGAAAAGTAAATACAGTCCTAATGAGGCAGTTAAATGACTCAATTTTGACTCCATTACCATGGAATAAGGAGATAATATATTCTAACTACCTTAGTTACTAGCCTCCCTTTTTTTGTATCACTGAATTGGGTAACATCAGTGCTCTCAAGAGAACTGGTAGGAAGGAGATGATAAATGTACTGTGCTAACCCACAAACCTTGGTGTGGCCAGGAGAATGTGGTCGTTACAGGAGCTCTGGGTGTCAGCCTCAGCAGCATTACAGCCGTGCAGCCACCTGGGTGGCCAGCATCCTGCAACACTGAATACTGTCCACCAAGAATACTTCAGGGATGGTCAGACCACCATCTCCAAAATGTTTGCCAAAGAACTGTCAGTCTTAGAGTTTAGGACCATTGGCAGGAACCTCTGAAAGGAAGCTGAAACCACTACATAATATTTCAGCAAGGTAGCAGAGTCCTTTCTTAAGGGGATCTGGCCTCCCCTTCCTTCAAGAGGTTCTGCGTCTATGAACTGGCTCAGGGCTAGGAAGTGGCTGAGGGTGTATGAGAAATCAACATTTTTGGCAAGAATAAATAAATACAAAAGTAGTATTTTCAAACCTCATTGTTAAGTAGGAGAGAAAGGACAAAGTTATAAGCATTCAAAATTCTTCACATTCTGCTCTCACCCTACCCTTTTCTACATTCGTCTCCTACATCTTCCCCAACCAGCTTCAATCCCTACATTGTCCCTTCCTTCTAGACTTCTAATACTTCCCTTTTTCTGCTGGAATAAGACCCAGGTGTTAAATTTCACTTCTTTTGTGAAGTCTCAATAAATTTGAATCCCTAAAACATCCCAAAGGATGCTAGGAACTGGGGTCACAAAGACAGCATGGTTCCAGAGCCCTCCAGAGGTTACTACAAAGATCTGGGATTTTAATCCTGCAGTTCTCTGAAACCAGGCTCATAATTACACACCCACTGAGCACTACTCTGGGCTTGACTTTATGTTTAACTGCATTCTCAGATATCAAGACTCCCTATGACACCAAAGGTAGTAATACTTCTCAATTCTCAAACTTCCTCCATCCTGCTGAGTGGATGAACTGAACAGTAAGGAGTAATCTTGCAGTAGAAAGGAAGAAAAATCTACATTTTAGCAAAACACTTCAAGCCCATTAAAAAGAAAAACGACAATCCGATTATTTAAACCTAGTTGCTTTATTTTGCACTTTTCAAATTCGCAAAAAGCTTCACAATATCTGCTTTCCCCTTTTGATCACCAAGGCTTTATAAGACAATGAAAATGTTATCACATCAGCTGGGCAGACTCACAAACAATGGATAATTTACAAACACATTTTTTTAATGAAGGACATTTTGCAAAATACACACGCTGGTACACATCTGAATTTATCTATCCTAAAATTAGACTTTAAAGCTTAAAGAAAAAAACAAAAAACACAGATTTAACACTGACAAACCTACCAGAATAAAGCTGGTGGCAAGTTTATTATAAACTGCTTTAATGTTTAAATGTTATCTGTTGAACCTACATTTAAATTCATTTGAGTAAAAGTCCTATAATTTAATGAATTTCAAAAAAGTGAACAACTCTTTTGCCTCCATGGTAGTTTCTCAAGTTTATTTATTAAATTGTGACATCTCGACTAAGGAAAATGGATCCTGGAACTACAACATTGAAAGAGAAGAAACACATGGGGACAGGGGAGAAACAAAATCAGTACTTTTATTCTTTCTACGGTGATTGTAACAAACAAAATCATTGCTCATATTAATAAAGGATATCAGAGATGATACGTGGGGTTGAGTTTTGGCTATGTACAGCATCTAAATGGCAATAATTAAAGTTCAAGGTATTATATAGGAAACTTAAGAAAATAATTGTTGCCTTCAATTTTAAATTTGTGGAATGGCATAATACATTTTTTGAGGTACCTATTATAGGATCTGCTAAAATTATTTATATTATTTCCACATTTAATAAAATGTTTATCTACGCTGGGTAGCTGTTAAGATAGTATCAATAAAGGCCACTAAAAATGTTGCCAGAATTCAGGTGAGAAGAGTGGTAATGGAAAGAGGATGGGAGGATAATGATACTGGGTAGTAATAACAAACATAATTTTTAAGGTTTCCTAACTAATGCTACAAAATTACATATTTTGGCTAAATGCCTCTGGACAGCTGGAAGTGATCAGGAAATGAGTGGAATATCCTAATCGTCCCAGTTAGATTCCTAACTAACCTGTTATTTGGATGGCTAGCTCATAAAGGATGGTTTACACAGACTGCTTGGTGAAAGGTCATTGTGCGAGGCTTATTACCTACTCTGCTTTGTTTCTTCCAAGAACACTTTTGAAGGGTTAAGAACCCCTTAGAAAAGCAGCAAAAGAAAGAACTTTTTAGAATACAAAGAGATTAACAAAGACATAATCGTAAATCGTTTAATTATGGATATGTTACCGGTCTTCTTTCTTGAGATAGGGAATATGGGCCAATGGAAAAAAAAAAAGGAGCTCTACTACTCCCTCAAATTCTAAATTTTTATCTTTCAATTAGAAATTTTAAAAGAAATATAAGCTTTAAAATGGCCCTCATCTTTCATCTCAAATTACCTATATATGATGTTGTCTAAGATACACACAAGAATTTCAGGATTATTTTCATAGAAGACATTAATTTAGGTTCATTTACTTAGAAAACAGGATTTTATTGTGAGGTGTCTTTTAAGAGATTTAAGTGCTCTAGTTACCACAATGAGAATTTATACTCAAAGCAAATATTCTCTAAGATACCAAGGTATTCAGTATACAGTGGGGCCTTGACTTACGAGTTTAATTCGTTCCGAGACCCAGCTCGTTAAGGAGCTCGTTAACTCAAATTACTCTATCAACTCAATGCAAAAAATAGGCCGAGAGACAGCTGGTATCTCAAAAAACTTGTTAGTCGGGACACTTGCAAATCAAGGCCCCATTGTATTTGGATCTTATACTTAAACATCTTAAAACTTACAAAGCCTAAGATAAGCAAGCAACAAGTCAATAAGATCACAACTTAGAATTCTAACATTTTCACATGGTATCAATGACTATGAAATGCAAAAATCTTATAAATGTTTAAGTGGAATGATCTCTAAAAATTACACTAGTGTGACCAAACCAATGATCACATACTATGGAAGACTATAGCACATGAATAAGTACAGAAAGCTGTTCTCCAGGACTTGAAACATTACTTGACCCATCATCATTTTAGGGGGGGGGGGGGGGGGGGGGGGGGAAATAAATTATTAGAAGGGCTCACACGTAGATAAAACAAATTTCAATTTAAATATCTTAAGACTATTTTAGAAGTTTATTTGATATTGGAATTGGGGGCAACTATCATAAAAGATTTCTCTTCCTCAAAAAAAAAAATCC